CCACTGCGGGGTGGCAGGATCTGGGCTCAGGGCCGGCTGGGGGGGGCGATTGGGGGGGCAGCAGTGAGGGGCACTAGGGAGCGGGGCTGCTTGCCTGCAGCTCCTGGCACCTGCGTGTGCGTGTCAGGCTGACCCAGGGCCAGGGCCTGTTTGCGTCGTGCTGTGACATCATTGCTGCGTTATTGTCTCGGACACGCCCGAGCGGGAGGGTGCAGGGGGGCACAGAGACCCTGGCCCCCCGCATCCAGACCCAGGCCCCGATCCGGCTGCAGGCGCTCCAGGGTCAGGGGCACCAGGCCCTGCCCGTGCGCTGTCTGGATTCACTGCCCAGACCCCGCAGTGGGCTGAACTCGGGCGTCGGGGCCGTGGGTGTGGGCAGCACCTGGCACTGTCCTGCACCGGGCGGCAGGGCAGCGTCTCCTGGCAGCGCCGCCCGGCCCGGCTGGTACGTGGTGTTTGCGCTGCGGGGCCACCACCCAGCTGGGAACCGCCGCAGCTGCGCCAGGGCCCGGCCCAGCCCCACGCTGCCTGGCACATGGCGCGGCCTGGCCCAGCACGTCTCCCCTGGTGCATGGACCGCCCCCCCTACCCCGTCTTACCCCAAGGGCCCGTCCCCGGGCCCCTCAGACCCTCGCTGGCCTGTTTGGACCGTTTATTCTGCGCCACGTCCCATCCAGCTGCCCACCATTGCCCCCCGCGGGGTCCCCCCAGCTCCACTCCTGGCCCTATATGTGCATACGTACAACCACACGCATGCAGATGTTTACTCGCACACGTGGTATCCCTGCATACATGGGCATGTGTGCCTTTGCACGCATGCAGGGGTGTGCATGCATGCGTGCACGTACACGTCTGACTGTAGGTGTGTATATGTGGTCACAAACACACGAAGGCACGTGCAGTCACATGCTGCAGATGCATGTGACACTCCCATGCATACACACACACACACGCGCGCACACGCACGGGGAGGGCGCAAGCATGGGGGGGCAGGGGCAGGCACTGTGGGGGGGGGTGACTGCTGGTTCCCTAGCAACTGTTGACAGAGCATGGGACGGGTTAACCCTTTCCCGACTCTCCGGTGTGCTGGTGTGGGGCACGGTCTGTCCTCCTCCCGCCCCACCCCACCGGGAGCAGGGCCGGGGCCGGGGCTCAGGGGTCAGGCAGGTTGTGGGCGCCGGGGGGCGTGGGACGGTCGCGGTTCTGCCACTCGAGGCGCTCGAGGCGCAGAGCGATCTTGAAGGCGCTGGACTCGAGCTCGGCCAGCAGCCGCGCCACCTTGGTCTGCAGGGCATCGAGCGCGGTCTCCAGCGCCTGCGTCCGCGCCTCTGCCCATCATAAAGCTCAGCTCT